GACCGACGATAATGAACGGCAGTGTGACAGTAATAGTGAACTCCTATTTTAGTTTTAAAAGAGAGAGACTTAAGACTTCTATTTTGGTATTTTCATTCTATTTACTCTTATCCATGGAGTATTCCCACCTTCTAATTTATTAATAAAAAATGGAGTACTATTTGATGGATATCGGGTCTGGTAAGCCCGACTCCAGGCCCATAATAGCCCAAAAGGTATAAGATCAGGTGGAGATGACGGGCCAAGCCCGTTATCTCGCATATGGCAAGTAAAGGAAGACGGCCCAAACATGGGATAGATCAAGGTGACCCAGTCCAAGGGAGGAATGGGACACGTGGCCCACATCATCAAGTTGTGGGCGAAATGGGAAGAGAACGAGACCGGAAAGAAGGGGAATTACAACCCCATGATCTCCATGATCCATTTCCATTTTGTGTAATTTTAATTAGAATATTAGAAGTACTATAAAAAGGGGAAGACCCCGCCATTCTAAGACACGACAAGAAAAAGAACAACAACAAGTTAGCTCAATACACAATAAAAGAACATTATCGAGTGATTACATCTTCCTAGTTCATATTACGTTCTTGGTCCGCCATCTGATCGGGTTGATCCCATCATTGGTGCTTTCATTGAGAGATACTGTGAGATAAGGCTGTGAGATTATGGCCGGACGAAGGACGAGACGTAACCCTGCTGCTTCCGCCCAATTGACGGTAAGGAGTGACAACCCAGAACAGGGTATGATAGTTCCTGTCAATGGGTTGGAAACGACACTAAATAATGTGGCCAACATGATGGCTAACATTATGGAGCGATTGGATAAAGCTCTTCCGGGTCCATCTGGTACCCGGGACATCCCTACCGGGCAACCTCGCCAGGTCCTGCGTACTGCGAGTTCTCCTATCCTCCAGGAGCTCTATGATCCGGAGGAGGTTGAAAGGGAGAGGCAATCCATTGACAGACGCCGGGCGGAGGAGTTGGCCCAGAATAACAAGGTGAATGAAGGCCGGGCTAAGGATGCAAGCCGGATCATCTGCGATGGTAACGAACACCCGCGGGGATCTGTCTTTGAAAGGATATCTCGCCAGAAAGCTCACGTTAGTGAGAGGCTGGGGAAGAATCCGGAAAAGGCACCCCAGGGTTGGATACGACCCCAGGCCAGCCAGGTGGCATCGTCTAATCGTGAACCACGGCAGCGAAATGGCCGTGGTGCGAGCCAATTGCTGGTCCGGTCATTGAGGAATCTGGAGGAGGATGAAGTTCAAAGCCAAGCCAGGGTCCCAGCACCACGGCGTCTGGGACCGCCGATGCCGGAAGCCGGTGAGTTCCAGGATCTGAGGCAGCAGATCCAGGAGATGCAGAAGAAGATTAACAAGGGTCGAGTATTCACTACCCGTACGAATACCCCCTTAGCCCCGGAGATCTTCGCGGAACCATATCCGCAGGGATTCAAGATGCCATTTGTTAAGCGTTATGATGGGGAGTTGGACCCCCAGGAACACATAAACAACTATGTCCAAGTGATTATTGCCGTGGACGCTAGTGACGCACTCATGTGTCGGTGTTTCTTGCAGACAGTTGACAGCAAGGTCGCGGATTGGGTTAACCATGTCCCTGCCGGATCGATCCGGACGTGGGATGAATTGGGACTACGGTTCCTAGAGCATTTCGCCGGGAACTGCCATCCCAAGAAGCATTTCACTCACTTGGCTTCAGTACGACAGAAGCATGGAGAATCCTTGAAGAATTTCCTTATCCGATGGAGGAAAGAGTCTAGGGAGGTTGAAGGAACCGATGATAAATCCAGGTTGGCTATGTTCACGCGGCATTACAGGATGGGCTCCTTCACACCGATCTCACTACTCATCCCCCGGATACCTTCGAAGAAGCGATGGTCCGGGCGGGGAGGTACGTGACCCTGGAAGAAAGAAAGTAGGAGAAGAAAGAAAAGACTCCTAAAGAAGAAGAGAAGACGGGGAATAAGAAGCCGTTTAAGAATAAGAAGCAGGGCTTCCCGGATGGCCCAAAGGGCGCAAGTCCTGGGACCTCGGAGAAACATAAATCTGCCAACCCGGTCTTCACATTGCCAGTGGCTGAGGTCATGGCCCATGCTGCACAGCAGGGACTCATGACTTACCCAACCTATTCTCAGAAGGTGTGCAATGTGGAAGACACTGGAAAATGGTGTGCCTACCATCGCAAGAATGACCACAACACGGAAGATTTCTATACTTTGAAGAATGAAATGGCAAGGCTAATCCGCCGGGGTCATCTGAAGAAATTCGTACAAGATGGCGATGCAGGGAATCCCGGGAATGCTTAGAATGGAAAGCGCAGAGATAAAGAAGTGGCCCAAGCTGAGGCCCAGGAGAAACGCCACATCGGGCTCGAAGACGAAGAGGAAGATTCGGAACCCGCACCGCATCGCCAGAAGAGACACCACGGGTGTAACTTCATCATTGGAGGGAATACTGGCGGGGATTCAGCCACAAGCCGGAAGAAATGGGCTAACGCGGCGATGGTCAACAAGGTGCTGGTCCTTGAAGGTATGAAGCTGAAAACCGAGCCAATTGTATTTTCTAATGCTGATCTTCCAGAGACAGGGGTCCCTCATAGGGACGCCCTAGTAATTACTATTGATATAATGGACTTACTGATCCACAAAACCCTTGTGGATACAGGAAGCTCCGTTAATATCATGTATATGGATACATACAAGGCTCTCGGTTTGACAAGAGATGAATTATCACCCATCAAGACTCCACTGACCGGGTTCACTGGTGACTCTATTGAACCAGAGGGGGTAATAACCCTCCCGGTTGAGATAAAGGATACTAAGGCTACCCGGAAGCTGGACATGGAGTTTGTCGTGGTGAGGATAATCTCCAGCACGAACATTATCTTGGGCAGACCCGGATTGGAAGATTTGGAGTGTGTTATCTCACCTCGTCACCTGTGCATAAAATTCCCAACCCCCCATGGAGTTGGAATTGCCAGGGGATCTCAGAGAGTATCCCGGGCATGGTATTTGAAGGCAACCAAACAGCCGGTCAAGTACGATACCCAAGTAGGAGAAGTGACTGCGCAACTCTTGAGGGCTGAGGAAAAACGTCCCAGAGTAGAAGTGGCTGGCGACATTGAAGAAGTGGAATTGGAGCCAGGCACGCCGGGAAGGTTGGTCAGGATTGGCAAGGACCTGGGGGCTGAACTCAGATCACGAGTGATCTCAGTCCTTAGAAGGTTCAGAAGGGTCTTTGCGTGGAGTCCAGCGGATATGCCAGGGCTGGATCACAAGATAGCAGTTCATCGCCTAAATGTCCTGCCCGATGCTAAACCAGTGAAGCAGAAACAAAGGCATTTATCACGGGAAAGAAGAGATTTTGTAAAGAAGGAAGTAGCAACCCTGCAGAGCATTGGGCACATCCGGGAGGTGCGGTACCCGGATTGGTTGGCAAACGTAGTACTGGCGCCTAAGCCCCCTTCATGGAGGATGTGCGTCGATTACACAGATTTGAACAAAGCATGTCCCATGGATCCGTTTCTTCTTCCCAACATCGATCAGATGGTGGATGAGACTGCTGGCTCAGAACTAATGAGCTTCATGGACGCTTTCAGTGGCTATCATCAGATTCGGATGCATCCGGCCAATGCTGAAAAGACTAGTTTTATGACCTCAAAAGGGCTGTACTGTTACCTAGTGATGGCTTTTGGACTGAGAAATTCCGGGGCAACATATACCCAGATGGTTTCTCAGGTATTCAAGACTGTCTTAGGGCGGACCATGGAGGCATATGTCGATGATATGATTGTCAAGTCCAAAGAGGCCCGAGACCATGTCCGGGACCTTGAGGAGGTCTTTGAAATCATGATGAAGGTAAATCTAAGATTGAACCCGAAGAAATGCACTTTTGCTGTTCAAGGTGGGAAATTCCTTGGGCACATGGTAAGCTGGAAAGGAATTGAGGCGAACCCCGAGAACGTAAGAGCCATCATGGAGATGGAATCCCCGAAGACAGCAAAGGAAGTTCAGCGGCTAACAGGAAGGTTGGCGGCCTTGAATCGTTTCCTTTCAAAGCTGGCAGAGAAGGCGAACCCATTTTTCGCGGTGATCAAGAAGAAGGCGACCTTCGAATGGACACAGGAATGTCAAGAAGCATTTGAAGAATTGAAGAGATATCTCACAAGTCCGCTGGTTTTATCCAAGCCGGAACCTGGAGATATCCTGACTTTATACTTGGCGATTGCGGACTGTGCTATAAGTACTGTGATCGTGAGAGAAGAGCGTGGGGCCCAACATCCGGTCTACTACGTCAGCAAGACCCTGAGAGATGCGGAGTTAAGGTATTCTCGTCCGGAGAAAGCCATGTTGGCGGTCTTCTGGGCAGCAAAGAGATTAACCCCGTACTTTCAGGCTCACCGGATTATTGTGCTCACCAATGAGCCATTGGCGTCACTTACCCGAAGCCTGGCGGCATCTTCCCGGATGACCAAGTGGGCGGTCTTTATCAGTCAGTACAACGTGGAATTCAGGCCGCGCCCATCCATCAAGGGGCAAGCACTCGCCGACTTTCAAGTCGAGTGCACTGCTAGAGAAATGACAAGAGCCCAGGTTGAAATCCGGGTGGAGAAGGACTGGTGGATAATGAGCATCGATGGATCTTCTGGGTCTCGATCTTACGGAGCAGGTATCATCTTGATCACCCCAGAAAAATTCCGGATTTATTACGCTATCAGATATCAGTTCCGCGTGTCCAATAATGAAGCCGAATATGAGGCCCTGATCAATGGATTGAAGATTCTTAGTAAGATGGGAGTATCCAGGGTTCAGGTCTACAGCGACTCCCGACCAGTGGTGGGACAAATCACAGGGGAATTTGAAGCAAAGGAAGAAAGGATGAAGAAGTATCGGGACTTGTCTTTAGAGATGTTGGGGAAGTTTGAGTTTATGCTTGAACATATACCCCGGGCCCAGAACGCAGAGGCCGATGTTCTATCCAAGCTTAGCGCAGAATCGCCGGAATACATAAGCAAATTAGCAACTGTCGAAGAGCTGGTAACCCCGAGTCTTAGCAACAGTGAAGTGATCTGGGTATCAGCTGATCCCCCGGAATGGCTGGACCGGTTGGCCAAATATATTGAGGACGGTGAAGCCCCGGAGGATCCCCAAGAAGCACGTCTATTACGAATGAGGGGACCAACCTACAAGGTGCAGGATGGAGTCCTCTATAAGAGGTCTTACAATGGTGTTCTACTCCGTTGCCTTAGAGCAGCAGAGGCGAAGGCACTGATGGAAGAAATACACGAAGGAGTATGTGCTGCACATCAGGGTCCTTATTCCATTTCTAGAAGGGCTATCATCCAGGGATACTTCTGGCCAACAATGAGGAAGGATTGCGAAGAGTATGTACGCAAGTGCCCGACCTGCCAGCAATTCCAGAATATACCTGGGAGGCCAGCCACGAACTACACACCCATCAGCTCCGTGATTCCCTTCTCAAGATGGGGGATTGATATTGTGGGAGCCCTGCCGAAAGGAGCAGGGCAAGCAAGGTGGATTGTGGTGGCGATAGATTATTTCACGAAGTGGATGGAAGCTGAACCACTTGCAGGGATCACCGGAAGGCAGATGATTGACTTCGTCGAAACCAATATACTCTGCAGGTTTGGGGTTCCGAAGCAGATCTTTTCAGACAATGGAACCCAGTTTGAGGAAGCAGAGTTTCAATACTTTCTCAAAACTTGGGGAATTCAGCACACGAAGGTGTCTGTTGCGTACCCTCAGGCTACTGGACAAGTGGAGAACGTCAACCGAACAATCATAGACGGAATAAAGAAGAAACTACTTTCAGAAGGAAGCAAATGGGTAGATGAACTACCCAAGAATCCTGTGGACATACAGGACGACTCCAAGGAGAGCCACAGGTGACACTCCTTTTGGCTTGGCTTATGGTTTTGAAGCCCGGGCTCCCGCTGAGGTAGTAATCCCCACCAGGAGAGAAATGGAATATGACCCGGAGGTGAACGAACAGAATCAGGCCGTAGAGCTGAATTTCGTTGAAGAACGAACGGATGAAGCATGTATCCGGGCAGAAAATTATCGTCGCCAGGTGAAATCTTACTTTGATAGCAAGGTGAAACCAAGGGCATTCCAGGTGGGGGATTACGTTCTGAGGAAACGCGAGAAAAGTCAACCAACTAAGGGTGGGAAGTTGGCTAAGAAGTATGAAGGACCTTATGTCATCAAGGCCGTTGTCTGCCCAGGTACCTACAAGTTGGTGACTCCCAAGGGGAAAGAAATTGATAGGACATGAAATGTAGAGCACTTGGCCAAATTTTATCAGTGAATCATTTTGTAAAAACGCTATATTTTTCAATTTAAGATGCTTGTTTCAGTAAAACTTTTCTCTTAACGCCAAGTGCCTTTGCAATTTCATTGTTCTATAAATTTCAAAAAAAGGGGGGGGGGGGGGAAGCACCCCGGGCGATATAGACCCGCATTACAGGGAGGTAGAAAAGTTTATGCCACCTGCTAAAAATAGGGGAGGTAGATAAGTTTATGCCCCCCGGAGGTAGAGAAGTTTATGCCTCCGTCGAAAATGATGGAAGGGTTGGGATTGGACTTCGAGGGCCACTACAACCCGGAATTCAGGAAGAATAGCAAGCAGACTTCGAGGGCTGAAGCTTAGTATTCCACTAGCATAGATCAACCGAGCAAACAAACTTCGAGGGTTGGAGCTCAACTGATCCAAGGTAGATAAGATTATGCCTTAACCCGGAGGAAGGGGAGGTCAGGGGCAGATGCGATAAGTGCCCCAGGCATGCCCAAACCCCGGGAAGATGAGATTTAATATAGAGAATGAATTATGTACTTGCATTTGAAGAGGTGCAAAGAAATGATCATTAAGGACCATATTGATGGGCCAAAGTTTACATTTTTTGGTTCACAAGAAAGGTTCCTAGTGAAATAAACAAGAAAAGAAATTAAGGGAGTTATCGATTGCTAATTCGGAGGTATATCTTTTAATTACAACGATGATTCCCACTTCAAAATTAAGGAACATTCCTTAGCTTGGGATGCGGGGAAAACCTCTGGACCAAGCAAGTGAATGCCCCTTGATACAAAACAAGGAAAAGAAATTTGATTTGCAGGAGGCTAGGAACTGAAGGAGGGCCTATTGCATCCATGCAGTCAACAAGAAGGAGGTGGGGGACCCTTCCATAGGCTCCTTATCTTTGACGAGGGACACGTTGATGAACCAGCGGTTTCCCATTTGTCATAGTCTTCCCATGTCCCAGGACGAGGGGCTGCTCCCTTCAATGAAGAACCATTGCTGGAAGGCTTCAACAGGTTTGGAGAAGCAGTCCGGCTTTCACATGAAGGTTCCGCTCCAACAGTTAGCAGAGAACATCCAAGCTTAGTCCTGCACATCCTCTGGTACAAGGCGAAGTCTTGGAGAGTTATGGAGTCCTAGTCTATCTCCCCGGAGGGAAGCCTGGGTGGACTAGGAAGAGATGGTGCAGGAAGGCGAGGCGCCGGATAAAGTCTCGAGAACTCGCCAGGAATCAACCCGGCCATGTCGTTGGATTGGGCTGGAGAGATGGAGAAATCATCATCTGAAGAAGAAGACGTCCCAGAGAGGGTTAAGTCGATGATGACTTTGCCCTCAGACTTGCTTGCCATGGCGAAGAAGTCAGAAAGTGATGGACTGGCAGCTAATTGCCCTTTCCCATTTTATAATCAAAGGGGAAGGGGTAGTTGGGAATTGATGAATACAATTAAAAGACGTGAAAGACTAAGCGATTGGCGAAGGAAGCGGTCGAAGCTTTCCCAAAGTTTGACTAAGAGTTTCTCGCCACTTAAGTGCATGGGCTAGTTAATGGGGCCCATTTGCGCTTTGGAAAAGACGTCGTCCTTGGAAGGTAAGGAGTTAAATAGACTTAGACTTCTACTCCATGCAGAGGACGGCACGTGCAACAAAATTATATTAAATGACAGGAGATAAAGGTTCTTTCCATTAAATAGCTCAAACAAAAGATTACATTCTTTTGGGTTACAGTAATGGGCCTTATCCCTGATCTGACCATGAAACAAAAAAGAGACGGGAGATAAAGATTTTCATTAACTCAACAGAAAGATTACATTCTTTTGGGTTACAGTAATGAACTTTGTCCCTGATCTACTTCTATCCTACTGCGAAAGAAAAATTGAAGGCAGGGCGGATCAATTGGCTGACCCTTGCTCCCTTGCCTGAACCGGAAGAGGACCCCAGAGCTGGGGGGCATGGAGAGTGTCCGCTAAAGACACTTCATGAAATTCACAAGAAGCAGAATGATACCAACGGGTTGGGATCTAAAGCCATCCCCGTGGATACCATCCAGTCATTCCCGTGAAGGCGCCCACCGGTCTCCCTTCATGACATTCAAAAGATACGAAAGGGAACCAACGGGTTGGGATTGAAAGGCATTCCCTCCGTCGGCACCATCCGGTCGTCCCTCTGAAGTCAGACCAGGAGGACGATAGGGCATGAGGGAAGGATTCAAGGCCTGTCTCCGCTTATACGGCAGGAGGAGGTGGATCCTGGAAGGTTCCGTCCTTTTCCCTGCGTATAAATGAAAGCCTATTTCCTCCCATGTCGTAGTCCCCCCATTCCTCAGGTGGCTGTCCATACAACTGCTGAGGGGAAGGGGAACCCTGAGAAGAAGGCCTCGCACCAGAGACCAGCCGGGAAGCTCCTGAGTGGGGATTGCGTCTCTTCTGTGGACGAGAAGTGCCAGGACAGCCAGAAGAGACTTCTGCCCTGGCACTGTTAGGAAGCACGCTGGGACCTGGAGGAACACTCCCTGAACCCTGTGGGGGGAGATGATGGTTATTCTCCTCCCGAGGCAAGGGAGAAGTTACCGATTGTTCAGAGGCAAGAGAAGGCCCAGAAGAGAGCTCAGGCGTTGGGGACCAGTGTGAGGGGAATGCCAACGAAGAAGAATCAGAAGAAGAATCAGAAATAGTAAGATCAATAAAGACAACTGTATTGGCGTTATTAGCCATGTTGAGAAGTTGATTGTGATATTGGAAGTGTTCAGCCTAGTCCCTTAAATAGGCGAGTGATCCCAAAGGAGAAGCGCAAGGGACGCGGAGTCAAAGCGCTTATCCGATTGGGAGGGAGTTGCGGATTCCCGAGGAAAGCTAGGGTTCCATTATCTTATTATTGGGCTAAGATGAATTGGGCCCGGCGTAATTAAGGTGGGCCAGTCACTTAGCGTAATGGAAAACAAGAGAAATAGTGCATTATGAACGCGGTTAAGCCCAAAGCCTAGGCGGATAAAAAAATCTGCTAGGTCATAGGGCGAAACAAGAGTTCCAAAAGGGGGACAGTCAGATTTACGAAAGGAGTCTATATGGACAAAAATACATCAGGTGTTATCAATTTGCTATCATCCAAATGTTACAAGGCAAAATATAACAGTCAACAGAGAAGGATAAAGTCAACGCCCCGGATCGGCACGAGAGGCTGGGGGAGAAAGAGGAAGAGGTAACCCATAGTAGGAGATGAAGTCATCCAAAGTGCGGTTCTCCGGGAGACCACTCTGGACTGCCCCGAAGATACATTGCTACATGTCAAATTTTCCCTCTTCGTAGAGGGCTCCAGCGCGGGCAACCAGAGTGGCCACCTCCTCTTGATGAGCAGCAATTGTCTTCTCCTGATCCTCCATCTTTGACCGGAGCTCGCTTGCAGCCTGTCTCTCTTCCTTCAACTTCTCGAGGGTAAGCCGTCTTGCCTCCATGTGCTTCAGTGCAAGCTCGTTAAGACGGGAGCCCTCATACTTGGCCTCTTGGAGGGAATTCTCCAGTTCAGAAATCCGGGATTCCCTCTCAACCAACTCAGCTTTCAGGCTTCCTGTCTGGTTTTCTGAAGCCGAGACCCTGGATTCCAGAATGGAGATCTGTGCCCGGAATCTGTCAAACTGCACTTCCAGATCCTGGGTTTCTTTTTTATAATTGGCAATCTGCTCTTGTAAGGACTGGACCTTGGATCTCTCAGCTGCTAGCTCCATTGAGCCATCTGCCTTGAGCCGAGCATTCTCTCCTTGCAGGATCTGGACTTGTTGTTCCAGGGAGTCGACCTTCTGTTGTAAGGCTCTGGCAGCCAGTTCCCTCTCCCTCAGGAGCACTACAGCCCGATAGTTCCTTGATGCTCCACCCAGGTACTCCTCTGTCAAAGTGAGGAGTGATTGCTGGGCCTAAAGGAAGGAAAGGGAAGTCAAGGAAAGGAACTAACCCAAAAAGAGATAAAGAGATTTTTGGAAAGGGGAGGTACCTGCTCCATGAGGTGCAGAGCATTGAGGGCAAGCAAGTCGGGACGGGCCTGGGGAATTGCAAGCTCCTGCACGGATCCCCTCATCCTCTCAAGATTTGCCTGGATGGTCCAATGGGAGGCTTGCAAGGACCTCATACCACGGGAGAAGTTTGCCCAACTCTGTAAAAACAGGATAAGTTTGCGGTGTGAACTTGCGCCGGATGGGGAGACTGATGGCTGGGGATGCAGTGGCGGGATGTCATTCCTCTGGCTCCCGCTGCTCCTCCTGAGTCTGCTGCGCCTCAGTCTCTTTCCTCACTTCTGGAGAAGCTTCAGCATCCCTCTACTCTCGAGCCTCATTCTCCTCTGGGTGGGAGATTTCCGTCTCTGTCTGCACTTCGACCTCCCTCTCTTCTGTAGGGGAGGACTCCGGTTCTTTCTGCTTCATCCCTTCTTCATCCATTATATGGGGGGTGGTTACGGCATGTGGCGAGGAACCGGACGCCTTAGTCTGAGGCTGCGTTATGGGTTTTCTGAGCGCAGACTGGTCCCTAGGCTCTTCTTCCTCACAATCAAGTCTATCCGGGTGGGATAACTCCAAAACCCCGGATGTAGCAGCAGGAGTGGCATTCTGGGTACCGGAAGAGTTGGACAGGGGGCTGGGCGAAACAGAAGTACCGTCACCCTTGTTCTTCTTGGGAAGGAAATCATTATCGGAGACACCTTCCCGTGGCCGTTTCTGGGACGAAGTGGGCCTCCTGAGCCCGGGGATGGCAGAGATAGGAACAACATTCAGAGCAGCATCCGGATTGCGCACAACCAAGGTAGTGGAACCACCTTGGGGCCGATTTCCAGGAGAGCTTGCGGCTGGGTTGGACTCTGCAGCAGAAGGAGCCTTCAATCTCTCAGGAGAGGGCATCCCTTCAAAGGGAAATGGGTCAGGACCCAGGGGGTAGTAAAAACCTGCCTTCTTGTACAATTGGGCATCTTGAAGGGAGTGGTGTGAAATTAAACCTTCTTTTCCTCTCAAAGCATTGTACACCCCCTCCGCCAATTCTATTGTAGCGAATTTCGTCCGGGGAATGGAACGGCGGAGGACAACGCCCGGTAGATCGATGGGGCTGTGAGCCGGGAACTCAATAACGAAGTATTTCAATGACCATTTGTCGATCTTGAGCTCAACCTTCTCAAAAATGGGAAAATGGTTATGGGGGTATAGGCTGTAGAAGGGGAAGCCACCGATACTGAAGAGGAGGAGGAATTCATCCAATTTTGGGATTCTGTCCAGGGCACAGCACCGCAACATATAGGATGCAATATACTTGTGCGCATTAGAAGTCAATTGACCCGGAGCAAATCCAAAATGGAGGCAAAGGTCGTGAAGCAGACCATGGAGGGGCAACCTAAATCCGTTCTCCACGGAGTGGTACTGCATGACCATATATTTTTTGGGGTTCGGATTACAAGATAAACTGATCCCCCCAACGGCATCGGGATGGTGGACCCGGAAGCCCTTGCCCAGAAGTGTGGCCATCTCTTGAAGTTCATTCTCTTTGATGATGGAGGGTCCGTGGGTCCAGGTTTCAGGATTTGTAGGAGCCATTTCGGAGAGAGAGGCAAGGATTTGGGGGAAATTGCAGTCGGAATTCGGGTCGGGTTAAGATTCAACAGCGAGAGGAAGAAGATGAGTCCAGAAAGGGTATTTATCCGTTGAAAGGGTGGACCCAAGGTACTCGAGTGCGACGTTTCTAATCCGACACGAAGATCGAAGGCGGCTCATCATTAGTTTTCTAGCAACACGTCGCCAGAAAACTAGGGGGCTTGTGATGGATATCGGGTCTGGTAAGCCCGACTCCAGGCCCATAATAGCCCAAAAGGTATAAGATCAGGTGGAGATGACGGGCCAAGCCCGTTATCTCGCATATGGCAAGTAAAGGAAGACGGCCCAAACATGGGATAGATCAAGGTGACCCAGTCCAAGGGAGGAATGGGACACGTGGCCCACATCATCAAGTTGTGGGCGAAATGGGAAGAGAACGAGACCGGAAAGAAGGGGAATTACAACCCCATGATCTCCATAATCCATTTCCATTTTGTGTAATTTTAATTAGAATATTAGAAGTACTATAAAAAGGGGAAGACCCCGCCATTCTAAGACACGACAAGAAAAAGAACAACAACAAGTTAGCTCAATACACAATAAAAGAACATTATCGAGTGATTACATCTTCCTAGTTCATATTACGTTCTTGGTCCGCCATCTGATCGGGTTGATCCCATCACTATTGTTAAGAGTATCCCACATCGGAAAAGTGTGAGGAAAAACATTCGGTATATAAGCTCTAGAGTTGAACTAACAAATCGATTGAACTCAATCTTTTAATCCGGTTTAACCCAAGTGTCTTATAGACCAATCCAGTTATCTCTACCCAATCCTAAATTTTATCATGGTATTAGAGCAGGTTTTAGCCCACCTCGTTTGTCAAGGTGTCCGTCTAGACGTTCATTCCTAGCGGCCCGTTTGTCTTTAGCCCATTTGTCCGTATGGAGTATGTACCCAACGGCCTGTGACCCGTTTAACACGATTGCTCGTTTGGATGTCCATACCAAGCGGCTCGTGGTCCTTTAGGTGCTGGCGCTCATAAAAAAAGTCAAGGAAATGGGAGTTCATTTGCAAGTGGTCAACCGGTTAGATTCAAAATGGCCCGGTTGTCCACTTGAGGGGGAGTGTTAAGAGTACCCACATCGGAAAAGTGCGAGGAAAAACAATCGGTATATAAGCTCTAGAGTTGAACTAACTAATCGATTGAATTCAATCTTTTAATCCGGTTTAACCCAAGTGTCTTATAGACCAATCCAGTTGTCCATACCCATCCTAAATTCCATGAACTATACTAATAATTACACATTCTTAGACTATACTTATAGAAAAAGTTAATGCATCTTATATTTCCTAGTAGTAGATAATATTTTACCATCGATGAAATGCCATATGATTGGGAAGTATATATGATGAATGCTAATCATAAAAAAGAATACAATGGGATTCATTTGCACTAGTCATAAGAATGTCAAACCAATTGGGGCCTTGGGGGTAAGGTTGGAGGGACAAGGGTGGGCAAGGAATAGGATGGGGTTAGGGTGTTTGGGGGGGGGGGGGGGGG